TAAGTCATGCAACTTCTTATGGCTTTTTTAGTAATCCGCATTCCGTTCWCGAATTAGGTGAATGGAGGCGCTATGGGGACAAACTGTGCGAGTTGCTGATTGATGAAGATAAACCAGCTAAAAGGATGAGCAAATTGTGGAGGATTGTTCATAATGAATTGTTGATGTGCCAGGCAGAGAAAAGGGCAGCCGAAGGGGTCAAGATAGCGCAGGAGAAAAATCGTGGTTATGCTGATTCACCGGATTCTAATACTCCAAACCCCTCTTTGCTTGCTGTTGCTGATATACCCTCACCTGCACCAAGTGCCCCTCCCCTTGCACCCGCTCAAGCGGACGTCCCTAAACATGGCGATCGGGAACTACCCCGTTCCCTGCCGCCCCTGCAGCCCTTGCCGCTCCCTCCAACTGCATCTCTCAGTAGCCAGGAGCCTGTCCCTGGGGCAGAATCTGACCTTGCGGAGGCCATGGCCAGAGAGCRAAGGGAGCTCTGGGGGGCGGTTGCCCGCCAAGGGATGGGAAACGGGGACGCTGATCTTGTTACAGCAGCYCAGGAGACCTTGGCGTTTCCTGTCGTTTATGAACCTAATCCCCAAGGGGATGGACAGCGTGCGAGGGTAGAGAATTTGGATTGGAARATGCTAACCCAGTTGCGTGCTACAGTGGGGAATTATGGAGTCACTAGTGAACCGGTGAAACAGATACTCGATTACATGTTTACTGCTCAGATCCTCCTGCCTGCAGATATTAAGGGTATTGCCAAATTGATTTACACCCCGCATCAACAGTTGCTTTTTGACGCGCGGTGGAAAGAGGAGGCTGTGCTTAGCGCAAATCTCCAAAGACCCCAGGGAGATCCCCTAGCAGGGATTACTGTTGATGAACTTATGGGCAGTGGTGTGTTTGTCCGTGTGGAAACACAGGCTCCTTTAGGGGCTAATAAACTCCGGGAGGTGATGGCGGTGGCAAGGAGAGCGATGGATAAAATAAAAGCGATAGGAGGTATTCCTATTTATATGGGGATAAAGCAGGGTAGGGATGAACCGCTTGGTGCCTTTGTTGATAAAATCATAGAAGCTCTGTCAAAGGCAGGAGTGTCAGATCACATGCAAGATGCCMTGCTTAAGCAATGCATTTTGCAAAATGGTAATTCTACAACACGAACTTTAATCAGTTCGACCCCAGGGGACTGGAAAGTGCAAGATCTTTTAGATAAAACAGCATCTATGCCGATTGGCCCCCAGGTGTTTTTAGTGAACGCTTTGCAGAAAATAGGGGATAATTTAAAAGAAGGGTTACAAGGACATGCTACAGTTCTGCGAGAACAGACTATTAGCTCTCAGAATCAGGTYATGGCAGCTCTTGCTCCCCTCCAAGCAGCAGCCGCTCGCCCCCGCACTACTACTAGTGGTCAAGTGAAATGTTATCGATGTGGAAACACCGGACACATCCGCCGGGAATGCCAGGCTACTGGGATTTGGTGCGGAAAATGCCAAACCAACACGCATAACACACGGGCTTGTCGGAAGAAGCAGGGAAACTTGAAGAACAGCGCGAACGGCGGCCACGCGGGGACACAAGTAGCAGCTGCAGCAGTCGCACCCCTCAACAGCGTACCTCCCAACAACTCCAACCAGCAACCAGCGGGAGCCTCGGCTTGGACCTGGCAGCCTCACTAGATGTGGATATTTTAACTACTCAGCTACATAAGATCCCCACTGGACTTTATGGACCTATCCTTATCAATGAACAACCAATAGGAGGGTTACTTATTGGTCGCTCGTCTGCCACTGCTTTGGGATTATATGTTGCACCTGGAGTTATTGATCCTGACTGCAAAGGGGAAATTATGATTATGGCCCACACCCCATATCCTCCTGTGCGGATACCAAAAGGACAGAGACTGGCCCAATTGGTCCCGTTGCCACAGTTAACAAAAGGATTACCGGCGCTTACCCACACTCCTAGACCAGAAGGTGGGTTTGGGTCAACGGGTGGTTTAACACTGCTCACTTTGGATCTAAGTACTCGGCCAAAGAGATCTTGCCGCCTGACATATCAAGGCCACAGCACCGTACTCAATGGACTTTTAGATACAGGTGCTGACTCCAGCGTAATTGACCCTGCACACTGGCCTTTACATTGGCCAACATTACCTTCACCAGTCGCTGTTACCGGGATAGCAGGAATGACGTTGGCTCATCGTACGCCCGTCCTCACCGTGGA